TTTTCTTTTTTCTGCTATTTCCCCCTATTATTGATGTTAAAATATAGGTAGTGAAAAAGGTCGAATTTTCCATATAACATGTGACGGTATGTATTGGTTCTTGCTTTCTATACATACGCTTTACGGCTGCACGAGGCACAGATGGAGCAATTACAATTGCTATATATTCCCATACCATTCCATGGCCTGGCTTCTTTTATATGACATTCGAATTTGAACATAGCTGTTCATTGATACTAAGTAAACTCGAAGAATCCCCAACTGTACAGACTAAAAAAGACCCAAAAGACCTAAAATGGCCTAGCGGTGGGACGAAGTTTGCATTGTTTGCTTCTTAACTTTGTATAGCTTTCTTCTTTTTCTTCGAGTCCTCATGTGAATACTTCCTCTTTCGCTGAATTATTAAAGTCGACGTCGGCGATTGAGGCTCAAGCGTGCAATTCTAAGGCACTATCATTTACAACCATTTAGGCTATGACATTGGTTGTGCATCCTGAAACCTATCTTGACACATTCTATTTCACCCCGCGCCTGACTTGGTGCTATTCGAGATAGCTAGAATGGACGTCGAAAAGACAATTAGAGGACTCAAGCCCCTTGGTGGGCAAGTGGTCCCTATTCGAACAGTCCAAGAGACGAGGCCCCAAGAAGAATTCGGTATGACCTACAATACCGCCCTTTACTTGCGACATCATGATTAACCAAGAAATAGGCGATGCCTTTGTCGCAGAAGTCAATGTGAAGTCTGCATCCAAGGTGATAAAGTAAACTACAGACTCGCATACTTTACCCGTTCGAGCACTAAATTAATTGATTCCTTAATTAGGGCTATCGACGCGGCTTTCCCCAGAGACCCTTCCCTTCCGCTATCCCACCTCCGTCGCTTCGCCAAAAGAGAATTACTCCCACCGCCGCTGAGGGCAGCGATTGAAAGCCAGAGCGTTCCTCTAGCGACCCCGGCACAAACCATCTTCGTCCTCATATCACCACCATTGCCCGATCTCACCACACTCAAGGCTCTGCTCGCTCCGTTTGCGCCAGACACAGCGCTGGCCGCTACAAACGATCCTCCGAATACAAATGACACATCAGAGGAAGCTTCACACTCCGATCCACCTTCCCCTGCTATTCAACTTCACCCCATCAAAATCCCACTTGCACCCCCCTTCAACACAACTCAAGCCGAAAAATGGACCAAGACCCTCTGGCCAGTCATATTCAACCCAGCAGCACCCCGCTCAACTGTCGCACCGCCCCCTCAGACCCTAAAACGCGCACAGGAGTCCATTGAACCACGAGCAGGGTACTACTTATCCCTAGCGCGCAAAGTAGCAGAGGAAGCAGAACAATCTGGGCTAGGCCGTGGCGTAGGCGCAGTGATAGTCGATCCTGCCATCGAAGAAGAGATAACCGAGGCAGGTTATGCGGCCGGGTACGACACTACATCGGAATGGGATGAAGCAGTCCTCGCGGTTGCCGGTGATGCGCGGTACTCTCGATCCGAGGCGGGCGCACCATCCCAAGCCCAGCTGCACACCGGGGTAGCGCCGAACCCAGCGAGCAAGACATACGACGCAGATATCGAGGGCGGGCCTGAACTGCACGCGTTAATGCGTGCGGTCGAGCTGATTGCTCGTTGGCGCCGAGAACACGATCGTTCTGACGGCGTGTCTGCATCAACAGCTACTGCAGATTCATCGAAGCCAGAACTAAAACAGCCAGAGCTGAGCGCCTTCGAAACATATTTCTTATACCGCCACCGTCCTGGTGCATCCCCAAACTCCTCAAACCCACCTCAATCGCCGTCCTCTCCATTGAAGAGGAAGCACGAAGTCCCTAACCCCGAATCCGACTTGACCATCCACCCTTCTACAGACCCTTCGCAAGCCCAGCTCCCCCACCCACCTCTCCCCGCTCCTCCCCCATCTACCGCGGTACTTGCGGATTCTTCTACCCCGGCGACAACGCCCGCAGCTCCGCGCATTCGCACCCGCTCTCAGGGTGGTTACCTCTGTACAGACTTGGACGTCTACCTTTCCCATGAGCCGTGTCTGTGCTGCTCTATGGGCATGCTTCTCTCCCGGTTCCGTTCTGTCATCTTCCCTCGAAGTGGGAGGTTAGAGAGTGGCGGTCTGTCTTCTGAGCCGGCCGTTGGTCCTGTGGCCGATGAGCGTGATCAAGTTACAGAGGCTGATATTTCTGCGGTTGATGGAAAGGGCGAGAGGGGGTACTATGGGCTACATTGGAGGAAGGAGTTGAACTGGAGGGCTCTTGGATTTGAGTTTGTGGAGGATGGGAATGTGGAAGTGGAAGTGAAGAGCGAGGCTGGACTGCCTGTCTTCCATGCTTGATTGCATGTATTCATTACTGTGTAACTCGGTTCACTGTACGTCATATCGGGTATAACCTACATTCTATATACATCCAACTATGTCCGGGATGCCATTTGGGTATTCGTGCTGGATTGGGCTTGCGATGGTTGCGTCAAGCACAAATTCCCAGACTCAACGTCTGTAAATGGTGAACTCCATGACCAGGAAAGCTACGTAGGCGACGAAAAGTACCAGGCCAGCCATTCGGTGGGGTCCCAGAAAGACGACCACAACAAGTGCCAGCGAGGACACCCAAACTGTCACCAGATCAAACAAAACAAAGGTATCTGACCCATCAAGGGGGTTTCCCGCTACCGCAACAACACCGACACATAGCGTTAGTAGGAAGATGTTACTCCCTGCTGTGGTTGCAACAATTATGCCTCCTTGTCCACGAAACCCGCTGAGCATCGCAATCAACTTCTCTGGTAGGGTTGTGACAAAAGCGATCACGGTCAACCCAAAGACAGTGCCTGACAGATTGAGAGAGTCGGCGATAGTGCCTGCACTGTGGGCAAGAATATATCCCGACAAGGAGAGTGCTAACAATCCGAGAATAAGCTGGAGAACATGATGATAAAGCGGTCGGGGAGGTCGTTTCTTTTTCTTGTCCACATTCGTATCTCCTAATAGAGGGGAAGACTCCGAGGCTGACTGCCCGGCACTTTGCCCTAATGTTGGCTCATCACAAACATCGATTGATTCATCGTCACTGTCACTTTCACTGTCCGACAGATGATGCGGTTCGCTGATACCTCTGTAGATGGCAAAGCCAATAGAGATGATATAAAGTGCGAAGAGAGCGATGAGAAGCCCACCGGTAACTCTATTCAGCTGTTGGAAATATGCTAAGATGATAAAAATAGTCGTGATGAAGAATTGGACTGCAGAGTATATCTTCGCACTACTGCCAAAGGGACTGCTGCCTTGATGACACAAAAGCCCCAGCGAAAAGGCACCGAGGATGTTGGAAATTGAAGATCCCATGACGTTGCCCAAGGCTAAAGGGGTGTGACCTTGTAGGATTGCAGCGACAACCACAGCGAGCTAAGGAGATCTTTTCAGCATAGACCGGTTAGATAGAGAAGCTCGAACCTATGTACCTCTTCGTATTCAGCCCCAGCAGTCAATAGGGAAATAAGAGTTGGAGAGATGCCTAGTCGCTGTCCTAAAATCACAGTGTGATCGATGAATTTGTCTGCACCATAGTCAAGGACAAAGACCCCGGCAACCAAGGCTGCTGAGTTAAAGAAGAGACTGTCCCAATCCATGGTATAGGTGTTGGAATGTTTAGGTAGATGTAGTTTTAAACGGTTCAAGTCTTGTCCCGAGTCATGCGCAATAGAATTACATGTCAATGCACGCCACTATAGGTGGATATATGTATATATTACATAATGTGTGTAAGAAACAGTACGGCTCAAGGCATCAATACATTTGAAGGTATACGTACATTTATTATATCCAAGCTACACCAATAACGGGGAAATATCTAAACGAAAAACCATCTAAAAGACATTTGAAAAGAGATTCAAGAAATCTTTCAAAGACACTGCCGAAAAAGACGTCACAAAGGCTGCATAACTAAATGTTCTTTATGTACTACATGTAGAGAGTATGAGTATAGTTAGGTGGTGATACTACTACAACACTCTTGAGATGACTTGAAACTTCCTTTGAAATTTTTTTTTTGGTAAAAACAGGCTTTTTGACATACCACACTAGGTATGCTGCGTTCTCACGCAACTCAAGACATCCGACCTGTAGCCTCCACTCCAAACCTCCAATCTCCACCGAGGTCTGCACCATTAACCTCTCTTCTCTTCCCAACACATGCAAGAAACGCCCCCGATGGCCCAGACTGAACAACCCCAGCCTTCTTCAACACCCTTCTATGCAGACAAAGCAATCAAGATCAAGACAAGGAAATTCGTGACTTCGTCACAGGATCTCCTGTATCGACGCCAGATGTCGAATGACATGGCAAAGTACATAAAGAATTTGGTAGGAACAGCTCATGGAGGTCCATTCATTTCGACCTCGTCATGTGTCATAGAGCCGACATGGCTTCGAAGAATGTGTCCATGAGAAAACGGAGAGGGGTATAAACCGAGGTCGATATCCCATGAGATACAGTCCAAAGCTAGATGGGAAAAAAAACAATTGGCTCAAAAGACAATGGGTTGTGGAGTAGCAAATGATTCGGGTTCATCACACTGGGGGAAAAAAGAGCAAAAAAAAGGTCAAAACGGAGTTTGGATAAATGCTTTTGTGAAGCAAAAGTGAGATATGATCAAGAAGCCTTTGGGGAGAGAGGTAGATGTCAAGGGGCCGCCGTACCCTAGATTACGTTCCTCTCCCCAGATGGCTCCATGGTGAACAGTGTTTCATGTGCAGAGGCGAGCTGTAAGCACAAAAATGGAACGAGCTCGCCGGGATTGATGGATGTTATGTATGACCTGTCAATACAGGCAGCAGATAATCCTCTAAAGTGAGAATCAAAATGCATGACTTTGTGGATGACACAAAACTTGATGTGTCGTACGATGTAGTGGGTATGATGCTTTTTCAATGCGTCGTCAAGGAACGGACGCTCAGCCTACTGGCGAAGCTTTCGGTCGAGGAACCTCAATCCATTCGCTGGTAGAACAATAGATAGGCCACTTTGTTGTCACGAGAACCATAGCGGCCCAGGGGAGTTCGGACCCCAGAGGGAGCGGCGGGAGGTGGAGTGACTGCGTTCACGGATTTCTTGCTTGCATGTCCGTTGGCACCATTGCCATTGACCTGGCTCCAGCCTTTGTCGCTGTCAGTCAAATCCATGTCATCCTGATCGATATGGTCGAAGATATTGCCGTTCGGGATCTTTCCGTGCTTGTGCTGTTCAAGAGCGGCAGCGAGAAGCTTGGGGTCTTCCTCGCCACCGGCTTCCGCCACTTCCTCGCTGCGAACGCGACGTATAGAAGTGTCGTCCATACGGATCCATTCTAAACCTTCCTGTCGCCGAACATCGACTGTGTAGTGACCGCCGCTGGCGTTCTTGCCGTGGTGGTAGATGACACCCATAAGGCGATACTTTGGGGGACCTCCCTGGGATGCCATGGCGTTACGCCGGTGAGGTGGGAAAACCTCCCGTGGAAGCTCCAGGTCTAGGGGATATCCAACCTTTTTCCAGATCTTCTGAGTGGCACCTGTGACACTGTCGTACTGGAAGCGTTTGAGATGAAGAATGAGGACAGGGGGCAAGGTCTCGATGAAGATTTGTTTGGTCGCGGTGATGTTAGGTCCGCGCGACGAGTTGAAATCACCCTGGATGCTTTCCGGCTTTGTCATTCCCTTGAGCGCATCGAGAATGTTGTGAACGTCATGTGACCCAATGTCGAGTTGCAAAGGTTGGTAGGGTTCCAATGTGACAGAAGTCTTGTTGCCAGGGACCTTGAATTCCGAGCGAAGCTTTCCTCCAAAGATTCTGGTGACCGGCGACTCAGCGGCAAGAGAGCCAGACAGTTGGGTGACCGCTGCTTTTTGCTTGTGGCCAACTTCCAACCAGCCATCGACGGAAGAATCGCCATTTTCCTTCGCTGCAGTGTGCGATTCGGCACGAGCGCACTCCTCGTGCATTTCCTCGAGAAGGAAGCCTAAGAACTCTTGAGCGTCCTGCTGATGTCCGCGCCGCATGTCCCTGAATCGTGGAAGCTGTCGAACCATCTCATAAACAAATTCAGGCACGAAAGACTCGCCATATTGCTCAAGCTCATTGGGCTTCAATCTGAGACGAAGTTGGTCTTCGGAAGTGGCCGCATCAATAACGCGGAATTCTTTCATGAACATGATCATCGCATCTATCAAAGGAAGATCACTGTGGAAGGTGTGTGCAGCACGGCGGCCAAGATGATCAAGAAACTGGTAGAACGGGGTGCAAGAAACAAGAATTTGCAACACAGAGTTCATGTAGCACATGTTTCCAGTGTTGACCAGTCCCCGAGGTTCAAGGAAAGCGATCTTGTCGCTGTATTGAGTGACATCTTCTCCCAATTTGCTCAAGACATCTGCGAGGGATTTGTTTTTCTGAACAGGCACTCCGTGTGGCTCAGCCAGAGCGGCGGCGGCGGCGCTTGCTGCTTTAGCTGACTCCTTCGAACGGACCAAATCAGCCCAAGACTTGGGTACAGCTGATACGGGCGAGATTGTCTTGGTTTCAGTGGAAGGAGCTTTATCAGATTCTACCACTGGGGCAGGAGTAGCAGGTCCAGTTGATTTAGGAGTTCCAGATGCGACGCTACCATCTTTGGCTTGGCGACGTGGGGTAGATGGGACATTGGGCACCACTGGAATAACCGGAGCAGGCTTTGAGCTTTTCGACTGTGCCTGTGATCTTGCAACTGACGAAGGGGTGGTGGGTTGCGTGGAGTCTGCATCTGACTGTTGGAATGTGGTGGTTGTTGGGGTTTGAGGTTCCGAAGATTCTTGGGTGGATGAACTCGATGGCTGAACCTCTTCGTTTTCATCTCCTTTGATGACCATGTGCGTATCTTTGGTAGGAAGCTCAACCGATGATTGCATGACACGGCCCTTGCGACGTCTGCGCGGGATTCTGGCCGGGAAGGGCTGCTCAGGAACGGAAAGCCAAGGAATCTAGACTAACAGTTAGAAAAATGTACGATTTTAATTGAGAAAAAACACTTACTGGTGCGGCAAAAGTGGGCTTCGGCGGCAAGTTTGACTGTGGCTCCCATCGCGGTGCCGGAGAAGCGATGGCATATCTTTGGGCCGAGTGCGGTAGAACAGCAGGGTATTCCTGCACTTCGGGCTGAATGGGCTGAATTGATGAATGCATGACAGATGGAGACATTATCGGCTGCAGTGGAGTCGGGGTTCTTTGATGCATGGGCATCGAATGAGGAATATGCGTGGGCGCCATGACAGGCTGCGAGTGAGGATAAGAGGATACAATCATCGGTGCATAGGGCGCCTGGTATGGACGTGGGGGGCCCTGGATATGTCCATATGGTGGGTACCAGTAAGGGTATTGCTGAGATGAGTATGGTTGATGAGGCATGTGGCCATTCATGTGAGGAGGATATCCCATGTACTGTGGTGATCGCATGTGGGGAGGCGCGGCGTTGTAAGAGAAGTCTTGCTGGCGCCTTGAAGGAGGCATGGGCAACTGCCCATGCGGCATAGCAGGGAGGTGATGATTCATCTTGGGCTGGCTAGAGAAGGAAGTTGTCTTGACGTTCGGTCACGCGTTACCTCAAATGAGTGCCATGCGCGATAGCAGTCAAGAGGAAAGAAAAATCTGGAGCTGCTGGCGCATTTAGGCAGCCATCGTGGCCTCAGTAAGAGGTGTTGGATATGTTGGAGAGTGGGAGTGGAGGATGAACTGGGTCAAAAGAGCTGTTGGGGTTGCTGGGGGTTGATTGGAAGGAGACTGGCAAACCAGATCGGAGTGAGGAAGCAAGAGAAAGAAGCAGATCGCTGTACAAGTGAATCTCTAGACGGAGAGAATCGACAGGTGGGGGTGAGAAGCGAGTGAGCAGAAAGAAGTAAAGAAAAAAAAAAAAAGAAGGCCTCTGATTCACTGTCAAACGAAATGAAGCTGAAGGGGACCAAGACCGAATTGGGTGTCGGGACTTGTTGGCTCACGTGACATTACGATTTGTAACCCGAGAGGGGCGAAACTGCACCTTCACGACAGCATCTGGCACCCTGAGGGCCGTCCCTCGATCCTTACTACTATTCTTACATGGCCTTTAGGGCCATTCATTCTCGTTCATCTCTTCTGCTTCAATCTGAGGCATCTGGTAGATCACTCGATCTACTGCCCGCTAACTGATTGCATCTTATCAGTTGTTGGCTTTATCCAGTTCCCATAGCACCCCTCATCTTTCATTTCAGCCGACCGGCTTGTTTCGTCTCTCTACCTTGTACGGTTTATTGGAGTCTCACTGTTGCAGGACAAATACTGCATAGATATGTCATCCAATGCAGGACAAAACCCGCCCCCTTCGAAAGCGGTAAACATTCCAAATACAGTCTCCTCTATTCCATTCCACTCAGCAGCTCCAGCGGACAACAGCAGCTCTCAGAGGCGCGTAGGAGGCTCTGGAAGCTCTCGGCCAGGGGTAACAGCGAAGACTTCAGCCACCCCAAGGAATAACCAAGCTCGGAAGAGTCAACATAACCGTCAAAGAAAACCTCGGTTATTGGATGATGACGAGTACAACGAATCGGTGGGTTCACAGGTCTATCTTCCACAAGAGCTACCTGCTGACCCTGGAGCCGTTATATTATATAGGCCGCCATGAAATCCACGACTAGTCGGAAGGGACAGACGTCCATCACCCACCTGATGAACTTTTCACTTCCACCTCGCCCGCAATACCAAGCACCCCCTCGCAACATTCGACGGTATACATCCTGGGGAGCGGGTGCAGTAGACAAATCGCGTTATGTGCACGCGAATTATCGGTTCATTGTGATGCCAAATCAAAATTTCCATGCTCAGGCAGCCAATGCCGATGTTCATCTCGATTGGGCCTCGGTCCTTCAAGTGCTGGTATCTGCTCAAACACAGGCTGCCAGTTGTCCTATTTGTCTTTCTACTCCGGTTGCACCACGGATGGCACGGTGTGGTCACATCTTCTGCCTCCCATGCCTTATCCGATACATGCATTCATCCGACGACGATAACACAGTCCCTGAAAAACGGCACCGTTGGAAGAAATGTCCTATCTGCTGGGACTCCGTGTATATCTCTGAGACCCGACCTGTCAGGTGGTTCCGTGGCCAAGAAGGCGATCTTCCCGTCGAAGGCGGTGATGTTGTATTGAGACTCGTAAAGCGAGAGTCGGGCAGCACTCTTGCTCTGCCTCGTGATGGATCTGAGACACTTGGTCCAGGCGAGGATGTTCCGTGGTATCATGTGGCGGAAGTTGCCGACTATGCTCGAATCATGAAAGGTGGCGAAGAATATATGACCGCCCAGTACGATGCTGAGATCGAAGACCTCCACAGACAGGAAGTCGAAGACGAGCTTCTCTTCGGCGATGAGAATACTTGGACCCGAAAAGCAATTAGTTCCATCAAGGATGCCAAAGAGAAGCTGAAAGGCATTGGCAATCCGCCTGAGGTCCGGCCAGTTAAGGAACGCACTATTGCACCCACGCCGACTACATCAGATGAAGCAGATCATCTCTCTAGAGCCCTAGACGGAGTCCATCTCGATCCTGAATCTAGTGCCAAAGCTAAAGAGAAAGGCCCCAGCAAGCAAACACCAGTTTCTTCCGGACCAGATCAACCATATCACTTTTATCAGGCGTTGCCTCAGTTTTACCTCTCGTCCTTGGATATTCGCATCCTCAAGGCTGCCTTTGGAGAATATTCTTTATTCCCTGCAACTATCCTACCTCGAGTGGAGCATATATCAACAGGCCATATCGTGGATGATGAGCTTCGCAAGCGAGTGAAATATCTCGGGCATCTTCCGCAGGGATGTGAGGTTAACTTCCTGGAGTGCGACTGGAGAGACGTGGTTGTCCCCGAGGTTCTGGCGCGTTTCCGCGCAGAGACTGATAGACGCCGAAAACGTAACCGGGAAAAGGAAGCCCGGGAAGAAAAGGATCGCATTCGCGCGGAGAAGGAGGAGGACGACAAACGGTGGGCAGCCGCTCGGCGCAAGCGGCCAAGCATTGGAAGTGCCAGCGTCAATGAAGCCCCATTTTCTGCTCATGACTTCCAACCACTTCCTCACAACGTGGATTCTACATTGTTTGATCCCGCCATCGCCTCCTCGGCCTCTCCTCCACGGTCATCGTCTGGATTCGGGGCATTGGCTTCTCCTTCCACCAGTCCCCCAGGTATCCGCACTGTTTGGGGCACCACGGCAGTGGGTTCACTGTCACCAAGCCTTGAGGCTCAACGGGCTACACACAGTGACGGGTGGCGGCAAGGCTGGGAGGATGAGCTCTTCGCCCAGCAGGAATCTGAGCTGCTGGCTCAGACGGCATCTGTAGACCCAATTTCCAATTCTGGACCCTCTGCCAGTGCGGGTAAGAAAAAGAAGAAAAACAAAACTAAGATCACCTTGATGGCCACTAGCAGCCAGAGAGGGGCATAGGCTTCAACGAAGTCTCGTTGTTTATTGTACTTTTCTCAATTCCCATTGGCCTTGTACTGCATTATCATATATGGTCCATTTCCCCGACTCTTCGGGTTGTTGACTTAGTACCTGTGATTTTCGCCTGTGTCCATATACTATTTTACTGGTACTGTTGGATTTTCTAGAATACTTGAATGAAACAAACCCCCACAATTACATTTATAATTCAGTACTCTGGTCCATTTGGCTTAAGATGATATCAGAGACGTTATATGACAGAACATACCAAGGTCTCTTTTCAATGGTTCTTATTAGATGTATACAAATGCTGTAAAAAGGATAAACCGTACAGAGGTCTTTCCTATGTTGAGATATACCGAGGGGTAAGTTGCATAGATCTAGGGTTTGGAGAACTAAATAGTCAAAATAGGCAGTTGACAACGAGCTCCCCCACAATGACACACTCAACCAATTCTCTCCTGGTAAATTGTCTTTGTGGGGTGAAATATTAGTGGAAGAAAAGCATTCAGCCCCTTTTAGCATCGATGAAAGGGAAATCTATGTTGTATACTACAAAGTACACCTTGAGTTCTCTCTGATTTTGGACGAACAACTTTCACTATTCAACTAATACTACAACTACTACACAAATATTCCATTGAAAACTCAAGTATACCAGATAAATATCACATCAATTGACTGCAGATTTTAAAATTAGTCATTATGTAATCAATTAGTACGGGGCCCGCAGACGGAGTAAACATTCAGGACATTCCTGTTTTTTTCCACCCTCGCTCCTTTTTACCCTCAGCCATTCCTTTCCTTACCCTCAATTGCAATCGGAACCTTGGTCTTCCGATTGAGCGACCATGACTTTAACCCGCTCTCAAACGGGGAAGACCCCTAAGTGAGTAGTTTCCACCGGATCTCTGTTGCGACGTATCCACACCCTGGATCCTCCAGGGTTATATCTTGCCAGTCCCCGGAACTTTTGGCTGGCACATAGTAGGCTTTTTGTCAAGCTAATTGGAATCCTTCCTTCCTCTAGAAAAATGGATCGTCCCGGCTTCATTGAGACCCCTGGCGGCCGTCGTGCCACCCGCAACAGTTCCGTCTTCGAGGGTAACGAGCATGAGGTTGCCCCCTCCCCCTCCCTAGAGAGACCCAAGTCAGCCTCCCGTCGTCGTACCTCAGCCAAAGTCAAGACTGAAGAGGATGATACGCTGGCAAAGATCACCACCAATGGCAAGACTACCACCCCTAAGCCCAAGTCCGCATCGCGCGTGGTGGACGGTTGGGAGGAAGGCCTCGATCCCAAGGTGGATTACAGCGGACACTTTGAATTCGGTGGCTCCTTGGGAGTGCTGTCCATGATGATCGGATTCCCCATGCTCATGTACTATATGTGGATTGGTGCCACCTACTACGACGGCAAGTTCCCTCGCCCCGCGGAGAACGAGAGTTACGGCGACTTTTTCGCGCACCTGGTCAATCTGGTCTACACCGGTGCTTTCCCATCGGTTAAGGCGTGGACTATCTACTGGGTTTTCTTTATCTTCGAGGGTGCCTGTTACGTGCTTCTTCCTGGTGTGAGCGTTACGGGTCGACCCCTGCCACACATGGGTGGCAAGCAGCTGCCATACTACTGCTCTGGTGTGTGGTCTTTCTATACCAGCATTACATTGGCACTGGTTGCGCACGTAACTGGGGTCTTCAAGCTGTACACCATCATTGATGAGTTCGGCCCCTTGCTCACCGTTGCCATCCTGTCTGGTTACATCGTCTCTTTCATTGCCTACTTCTCGGCTTTGGCGCGTGGCGCAGAGCACCGCATGACCGGCTACCCGATCTATGACTTCTTCATGGGTGCCGAGCTCAACCCCCGCATGTTCAAGATCCTCGACTTCAAGATGTTTTTCGAGGTCCGCCTGCCCTGGTACATCCTGCTCGGCCTGTCTATGGGCGCCGCTGCCCGCCAATGGGAGATGTATGGTTATGTGTCCGGCGAGGTTATGTTCCTTGTCATGGCTCATTACCTTTACGCCAATGCCTGCTCCAAGGGCGAGGAGTGCATTGTTTCCACCTGGTAAGGGTTTCTCCTGCCCCAGAATCATGATTATTTCCTAACAGTTTGCAGGGATATGTATTACGAGAAGTGGGGCTTCATGTTGATCTTCTGGAACTTGGCCGGTGTGCCTCTGAGCTACTGCCACTGCACCATTTACCTCGCCAACCACGATCCTGCTGAATACCGCTGGAACCGCTACTTCCTTGCCTTCCTCTTCGTCGCCTACCTGTTTGTTTACTGGGTGTGGGATACCACCAACAGCCAGAAGAACCGTTTCCGCCAGCAGGAGCGTGGCACCATGGTGTCCCGCAACACCTTCCCCCAGCTTCCTTGGCAGACAGTGGAGAACCCCAAGACTCTTACTGCGGCTGATGGCTCAAAGATTCTTGTAGATGGGTGGTGTAAGTTCATGCCAACCATCAGAAACCTACAACCTCCGATACTAACAACTGTATAGATGGCAAGGCCCGCAAGATCCACTACACGTGCGATCTTTACTTCGCTCTGAACTGGGGTTTGATTACCGGATTCTCAAGCCCGTTCCCTTGGTTCTACCCTGTCTTCTTCGCTTGCATGATTAGCCACCGTGCTCTTCGTGACATCCAACGGTGTCGCACCAAGTACGGTGAGACTTGGCTTGAATACGAACGCCAGGTGCCTTACCTGTTCATTCCTGTGAGTAACTTGATCTTGAAAACTTTCTCAGCACCTGTGACTAACCTTTTATACTATAGTACGTCTTCTAATCGCAGTTCGCTGCGTCCCCTTGGACTCATTAGAGGCTCAGTAGTTGGGAGCCCAAGGGATTTTTTTTCCCTTCTTTAGGTCTAACCAGATCATCATTCAGCCATACAACCTTAGTGTATCATATGTATAAAACAAAACGTCAAATAAATTATTAATACCTGCACCGATTATGAAGCAAGATGTTCCGGCCATCCTATGGTGGCCTCTTGAGTTATTTTGGAATCCACCATGGGGCTTTTTCATGACTTTTTGTACGATAGTGCCGAGTAACGGACTACGAAGTTGATCGAAATGTGAAGAGACAATATTCTATTCTATTCCACAATTTCTGCTTTAAAGGGCAAAACTAAAGAACTGCTCGGAGTACATCAAACCGAGTGCTATGATGTTGGCCAGTATCAGCACATGACTGCCCCGCGTGTGTTATCGATAATGATTTCGCCGCGCCTCAATCGTCTGTATTCCTGAGGTCATTCCAATTGATTTCACGATTCTATTCCAATATATTTCTGTCTTTGAAAAGAGCAGAATAACACTATGCTGATCCAGGAATCGTATCATGATGTCCCCACCACGGCGGATGGACAGGGGACAATGCGTATGTACACTATCGTCCCTTTTATATAGCACATCCATCCCCCCTCTATAAAGCCATTGCTCCTTCATAATGCCAATTCTAACCATTTACCAGGCATCTATGTCTTCCACCCGACAATCCCGGGCTACCCCAAAGCCCGCTTCCCCGGAGTCGTAGTGTTCAGCGAGATTTATCAAGGTCTGTGTCCTCTTTGCGATCATTCCCCAACACCTCAACTAAAGATCACGATCCACAGTAACGGGTCCCGTGGCACGCTTTGCACGCCAGATCGCAGGCCAGGGATACATCTGTGTCGCCCCTTCGAGCTACCATGAATTCACTGGTCCGGAAGCTCTGAAGTATGACGCGGAGGACACGGACAAGGGGAATGCATGGAAGATTGGCAAAGTAAGTAAAATAACACAGCTCCCCTGGGCATATGCTTTGCTTGTGTTTTCTATTATTGCTCTTCATTAGGCTCTTTTTGAGGTAGTTAATTTCCGGCGCTGACTGTCTATCAGAAACTTGCCGCTTATGATGAAGATGCTAGTCTCAGCGTGGATTATCTGCTTTCGCTACCCACCTGCAATGGACAAGTTGGTGCCACGGGCATGTGTCTGGGTGGCCATTTGGCCTATCGTTGCGCGCTGGATAGCCGAGTCAAGGCGAGCGTGTGTTACTTTGCCACGGATATCCACAGCAAGACCCTTGCCCTGGGCAAGAATGATGATAGTTTGGAGAGAGCTGGGGATATCAAGGGTGAGATGCTAATGGTATGTCTTGATTTTTATTTTTATTCTTTTTTGCTCTATTGTTCTTGTTTGGGTTAATTGCTAAACAAAATCTCTAGATCTTCGGCAAAAACGATAACCACGTCCCGCCCGAGGGACGTGATCTCATCCGCAAGACCCTGCATGATAAGGGCGTCTTGTTCGGTTTCTATGAAGTCGCTTGGGCGCAACGTGAGTTGAACAAATCTCTTCACACCAAACACCAATACGCTGACGAGAATACTTATCCAGATGCCTTTATCCGTGATGAGCTCAGCAAGGGTCGGTATGATCCGGCTATTACCAAGGTCTGCTTTGAGATGCTGCTCGAGCTGTTTGGGCGCACCTTGAAGCTGGATCTAGGCGATCATGATGGGCAAAAATTGGTGATAGAGGATGTTTGTTAAAAGGATTCGAGTATTATCAAAGTGCATGGAGTGCCGTGTAGAAGAATGGGCTGACTCACTAGTATTATCAATTTCCAATGGGACTGGGACGAGTTCTTTAAGGGCTATACTTCCATGGTAAAGTACGTACCATGTGAATACTCCGTAGAGGTACGGAGTAAGGGTACAGCACTGCAGGCACAAAACATGACCGAATGCATACAACAACATATATCACCATCCAAAAGTCTTATAAATGTAAAGTTCAGAGGATCGTATGTGTCCGCAGGTGCATTTACTAAATTGTGGCTTGAGCCCATCTGGTCGACCTGGCGACCATATATTATTGTCTCCAGCAAGGGTCGAGGTAGCCACTTTATTCCCAAAAAGAAGAAAAAGAAAGGGAAACAATATGGACACTAGGCCGAGAAAGATCTGCAATCCAGAATATCAAAGGGAAAAAGAGTCCTCTCTACAACATACACATCACAGAAATTTTATACGGTTGAATACCTCTGGCTACGTAAGACGGGAGAGAGTGTACTATTATTAGCCGACTGGACCCAAGGAATCATTGCCACAAAAGTTGAATTGTTTTGATGGAATTTCATTGAATTCGAATTTGAAATTCAAGAAAGATAAAAAAAAAACTTGGAGACAGGTTTTTTTCCCCCTAAGCCACACTAGCGCCAGCCCTGTGAGTCCCCCGAGTAACCCGTGGGGATCTTGGTTTCTTGTTTCCCCTCACAGTTCGCTCTCTTGCACAGCTGCACAGCTACAGAGTTTCACTTCTCTACTTCTGCTTCTATTTCTACTTCAACCTCAACCTCAACCTGGTTTCACTAGAGATCTACCGATCTGGACCGGTCCTCCGCGCAGATCAGGACCTCCATCTTTGAACTCTCAGGTCTCAACGGTCCTTGTCAACATTGCCTCCCGTCTCTTCTACTCGTTTGAACCTCCAATTCACAATGGGGTCCACTCAATTCGGGAACTTTCACGTAAGTGCAGATCGACCTGGATATTGACCCTCCGATGGGTAGATACTGACCGCACACCCGTATGGGTACCACAGAACTTCTGTCGCGACTCAACCCTACCAGTCTGCAATGTAAGTGAGATCCGTTTGAAAACCCCCTGCGATGGCCCCATAGAATTATCAACTAATGGTATCATTCGTCGCGTACAGCTTTTCACCAATGAAACCGCGGCTGTTGCCTTCGGCGCGTGCAATCTGACCGGCATTCCTCTCAGTGGGGAGAGGCATCTTCGGAACTTGGGTACGATCTACGAAGCCGAAGCCGAGGCCGATATGATTGGAGACAAATTATATGAGCACGATGGCTGATTTCTGATAGGTTCGATTCTACTGGCCTTCATCGCCATTGTCTTGACCGCGGGTATGATATGGAGATCGGACAAGAAGCAAGCTGCTGTCGGCCGGAGGTATGGAATATCTTTATTTGCTATGGAAATATCAACTAACAAGATGGTGCGCCCAGGGAAATGCAATTGTTTTTGCTCGGTTTTATCGTCATTGAGATCTGCGAGATCTTCACAGTGGGTGGCTTCCCCCTGAGCGACGCAGTCCGAAAGGTAGGATTTCTCTAGGATAGACTCGAGGCCTCGGCTGACAGAAGCATCTAGGGATTTTCTGCAGTACACATCGCCGCAATCACGGCTACTTCCTGGGTCCTTCTTCTGAACGCCCTTGTCGGCTTCCAGTTGCTTGACGACGGCACCGCAGCTTCCATCGGTCTCATATGCGCATCTGCTGCGGCTCTCTTCATCGGGACAGGCTATATTGCCTTGGACACCGGATTCGATTGGACTGGCCGTTTCCAGTCAAGTTATGACCCACCAAATCGCAACATCGCCCTCTATGTTCTATACCAACTCTTCCCACTCGTCTGCCTGGTCTTGTTCTACCTCCTGGAAGCCGTACTAGTGCTTCGGGTCTTGGGCGAGTTCCGACCAATGCGTAGGTACACCACACTGGATTCAAAGTAAACATGTGCTAACGGTGCAACAGTGTATCTCACCGGTGCTGGCGTCTTGTTCGCAATTGGTCAGGTTTTCAACTATGTGATCAGCACCCATTTGTGCCAGGCCGCCGATGGCAAGATCAATGGAGCTTTATTCGAAACTCTCTTCACCCTCCTTTCTGTCTCCGGGGTCTGGGCCTTCTGGAGCAGTATCACTGAAGACGACTGGCCTCTGCCCGTGGGTGGCGGTGGTTACAACTGATCTGATAATTATGCCATTTGCATCATCTATGACTTTGCTTCGTCAGTTTCTTGCGTGCGAATTTTAACGTCTCTAATTATTTTTCTGCTACACATAGCTTTCTTCACGCTTGTTTACGAGTCTGGATCTTGAACTGGGATTGTCGACATTGTGATACCCCATTTCCTTGAGTCATGTTTCACGATTCACCTGCCATCTCTTACTTTTACGGTGGTTATCATGCCTTGCTTTATGACTCGTTCCAGCCTATCTATGTTTTATGAATTTACCTGGAGTTCCGATCTCCTAGTCCAGCTACAGGACGGCCAGTTTCTGTCGGCGTTTATCCCTTATTTTGTTTTCGGACAGATACATCCTCACCATGTACTTAGTTGTAACCCATGTCAAATAATCGACTTTAGCTATCTCACCTTTCCGAACTCATCAGCCCTAACTAAAACAGCAGATCCCCCCTTCCCCTCCCCCTCAACAAGCCAAATCATTCATGGGAAGGCTTTTATGTACGCACCCTCGAGTTTCTTATGTTGGCTAGGTAGTATCTGATGCTACCTACCTACGCCGATACGGACATTGGGGAAAGACAAGCCTTCTAATGCGACTCAGTGTGACCACCTGGGGCATGCTAGTTTGCACTTCGCTCCATATGCCCATGTGATATTCATGCCGAAGGTTGAATGTCCATCTCTTTTGCTGAAAACGAATCTAAAACGCCGCTGTATATAATAACCACGACAACAGCGTAACCTCGTCCCTTGATAACCTAACAAATACCAAAATTGAGCCCATCCATCTCGGATTTCTGTTTTCAATTCTCTCCCAAATTTATCGAATATGCGTTTCAATATCACCGCTCTCGTCCTCGCCTCGGGGTTGACCTCTGCTGCAGGAATAGCTCCTATTGTCAATAATACCCACACCCAACCCTCCTGTACAGATCTCTTTCTATAAACCTAATTATTCTTCGAATGTAATTTGGGTAAGCTAGCATACTAATACAAATCATATATATATAGTGCGGCAAGAAAATCTAGATATTGTCCGGCAGCTCCCAGAGGCGTATAGCGTCGCTGCTTGTTTCAATTTGACGGCCCAGCTTACGTGCATTGCCAATGCTATTACCAATAGTGATCCGGCTGCTCTACAGAATTGTTTGACGACCTCTATGAGTCATGTATATTCTTTTTCTTTCATCGAGTTTGTTTTGGAAAGAAAAATTAAGCTCGGGATCTAGCTCTGCTCATGTGTTGCCTGTGTTCCCCCGATTGAAAACGTGCTTATTGGACTCGGTATCTGTCCGGCCTTGAATAATGACAACGATAAGCCTTCTTCCATTTAATTTGCTTGCAGCCCTCAGCCGCATGATAGTGGGGATCTTGTCATTGCATGTCATAGTTCAGGCTTCCCTTCAGTCTTCGGTGCATATACTTAGCAGTCAGTCCCATTCCCAAAGGAATGCTAGCTGTTTTTCTGCTCTTTTGGTCTTCATCATTGTTGGTGTTCAACTTGGCACGTGGGACATATAGGTGAGGGCTAGGCTCAGTCTAGACGACGGCTTCCCCTTCAAGCCAAGTATCGCGTTATGCCGTACGTGGCCACCACTTAGGTTGAGTTACAACAGCAGAAGAATATATATCTCTAACAAAAAACCATTCAATAATTGATAGATTAATATAGAATGGGTTATATACAATGGTTGTTCATGGGTGTTCAAGGAAGGATGTCGAGATCTGCACATGAACCGAAAACACAAGAGTCATAAATAATGTATGAGAAATCAAAAGCTCGTTTGAATACATCAACGGGGGAATCATGCCTAATCAAAACTTTTGCACACTTCATAGTCGGACTTTGACGTCAACACATGGAAGAGTCCACTCCCGTCTCCCCAAGAGGCTGCGCATCCACTCCAACCCAACTCCTGTCCACTCGTTAGGCCTTGGCTCCATTCCATTAGGGGAAAGTCGTTGCTGGACACCCTCCAACGCAGCACCAGCCAAGGCCTTGGCGGTGGAGTTTATAGTATCGAAGACAAACTCCGTCAGACCCTCACCAGACACTGTTGCTTCGGAGGTTGCATTGCCTGAGATAGCATAACCGCCAGGCTCTGAGGTATAGCGTGGTGCAAACCAATTACTCCGTAGGTCAAAGATACAACGGTCTGACCAATGACATGAGGAGACGAATAGAATCAGGAGCAATGCGGAGCAGTAGATACATGGCCGATGAATGATGTATGTCAACGCAACAAACGAGATGATGAAGAGTGGGGAGGCGTTGGTCGGGATAAAAAGGAGAGGTAGCCAGCTGCAATATGGGCCATCTCTGTTAGCGTCCTCGATCCGCTGTTTTGTTGTTGGTTGCTTGCATCTCTTACCTTCGTAGACAGAACATGGTGATGATAGGGTTTGCGGGCGCTGGCCTTTGGGCGGAAAGGTGCAGGTAGATAGACAAGAGCGTCGTTTGACGTAATGAAAATATCCCGATAGTGTAGTGAGCTCACCACCTTCGAACTCAGTAAGTGAAAGTGGGCTAAAGGAAATAAAAGTAATCTGATCACTAATGACGCGAGTTGGGCAAGAAATGACACTAGCCACCGTTCGCCACAACTCGGCAGCCTCAGCCACACCCACGGCTCGAACAATATTACCGAGAGTTCTTCTCTCCTTCACCCTTCCTCTCTACTTCACCACGTTCTTCAATTTCATCTCTCTTTTCTTGCACTTATCTCCGGTTTGCTATTTTGTCGCCTTTTCTAGCCTTTGTGATTCCCAATTTTATACTCTGTCCCTCTCGAAAGAGAGCTTCTGAGAGCTCTGCAAAGCTTGGATCCTACTGGCGGAGGTCGCCTGTAACCACGGCGTAACGGCAGAAATGTCCACCCCCACCGATCTCCAGGCTCTCTTAGCCAGTATCCGGCCACGTCCTTCTCCTTCAAACACTCCTGGCCAGGATAACACTCAGGCTCAGGCTCAGGCTCAGGCCCAGCGCCAATCGTATTACCAGCCCGGTCTGTTCCCGCCGCACCCTCCGCAGCAGCAACCTTACGATGGCCAGAGCTACCCTCATCCCCAGTCGCATGGCTACCAACATCCTTCGGTATCCTCGACTGTCCAAAGTCCTGCTCCAATGAATGCTCCCCCTCATCAGGGCTCTGATATCTTGAGCCCTAATGTGCCTTCTCCTCGGGGCGAATGGCCCCAGCAGCCGCAACCGCAGCACACCAACCCAGGATCTGTGGACCTTTTGAATCTTCTCAGATTCAGCCAGCGTCCCGGTGCTTCCCCTCAGCCGCAGGCCCCAGCTGCAGCTCCCGAGCACTTGCAGACTCCGCCGGTCCAGGGAGCTCCTGCTTCACACGGACGAAATATTTCCGCGTCTGACTTGGTTGCTACTTTGTTCGGTCAACAGACCCCTGCCGCCCCTGTGACTGCTCCCGCTGGCCCTGCCCCAGCATTCCAATCTGGTCAGCCCGAGGGCCCCAATGAGAACACCCAGGATATGTTACTTCGCCTGCTCAATCGTTCTCAGCCAGGTCCTGCTGTCGCCGAATCACCGGCGCTGGCTTCAACTCAGCAAGCACCATATATTCAGGCTGTCGTCGATGAACGTCAGAACCAGCCAGCCAAGAATACTTTTATGGAAGTGGTGGATGAAAGTCCCAAGGCGCCTGCGAACCCGGAAACGGTCGTATCGCCCAACTCGAAGGACTCGATGTTCACTTATGTTAATCCGTTTGACCAATTGGCCGCTATCTCTCCTGTGAACAAGTCTCCCCAGTCGACCTCTGGCATTCAGAGCCCGGCTGTTGAAGTCACGCAGAAGCAAAAGATCAATGTTTCTGCTAAGCTGGAGCCTTCGCAAACACCAGAGCTTGCGCCCCCAAGGGAGAAGACCCAGTCGCCAATCTTGACTGAAAGTCAGAGGGAGGCCGTGCATGAGGTCGTCGGTCGTCTCGTAGATGAGATTGGCCGCTCTCTCAGCGGCGATGAGCCTCAGGTTGCAACGGAAGCCAAGGCTGCTGTTTCTACTGTCCAGGAGGAATCCTCTGAAGCAGTTCTTTCGTCGATCGCTAGTCATTTGCGCGAGACTGCGGCTGAAGCTAAAGAAGCAGCAACTTTGACTCAGGTTGACGATCTCGTGAAGGAGACAGAACCTTCCGCGGTTCCAGCTGCCCCTAAGGCGACTGAGAACACCGAGGCTCTAGCTGATAGCTGGGAGAGTGCGGAAGACAGCGCTGAAAAGGAGGAAGAACGAGTTGTCTCTGTTCACAACTTCCCAATGAGGCCCTTCATCTCCATTGCCGTGAAACCTACGCCTGGAAAACTTACGACCTTCCGTGATGACGATGTCATGGATATTGCTCGTCTAAAGAAGGAGTTCGATCAGCTTGACCGCTCATTGACTGCGGCTACATCCGAATACATCGTGTATGCGCTCGCCAAAACCGGTGGAATCAGAATTATTCGACAGGATGATGGAAGTGACCGACAGGTGTTCCGTTCCACCCGTGATCGAGTGTTCAACGTTGCCCTGTGCACAGCTCCTTCTGTTTCTGGTGACTCCGAAGTCCAGGCTATCCTCGGCATTGGAGTCAGCGGCTCTGTATACTGGGCTTTGATCTCGCGTGCTGGAAAGGATTTCTTTGATATGGATGCCTTGGAAAGCGAAAGCTTGATCTTCCCACCTTTCCCGGCCTCAGACGAGAACACCTCTGGTGGCCAGCTGAAAACGCGGGCCAAGCGGAGCACCCGTCACACCAACTTGTTTGCCATTGGCCGGGGCAAGAACATCTACGTTGTTTCACCGAAGGCAGCAATGAGCCCTACCTACGGCGTTTCTGGTACTCAGCGTACAGTTAACACGGAGAAATTCTTCAAGGAGCGCGCATTAAAGATCTCCACTGGTAAAGCCGGCAAAGACTTCGCTTTCAGTGATGATGATTCCGTCATCGCTTCTTTGGACAAAACTGGCCGACTGCGCTTCTGGGATATAAATGATATGCTTAACGACGCGAGCTTTGTGGAAGGCCCTGCTCCTGCTGAGATCCGGGTGCCCTTGACCACCTTTGTCACTGGCTCCCCAACCGAAAAGTCCTGGCCCACTTCGGTCCTGTTTCTCGATAAGCTTCGCGCTTATTCGCGATCTATGGCACTTCGTTATGTTTTGGTTGGGCTCAAGCAAAATCACACCTTGCAGCTCTGGGATATTGGGCTGGGCAAGGCCGTGCAGGAGTTGAAGTTCCCCCACGAGAACGAGTCCGATGCCATCTGCAGCGTGGCTTATCACCCAGCATCAGGGGTCATTGTCGTTGGGCATCCCACACGTAACTCTATCTACTTTGCTCATCTTTCGGCTCCTCGGTACAATTTACCTCAGATGTCCCAGGCAGCCTATATCCGAGACCTCAACGATAAGGACAACACCCTACCCAAGCCCGAGTCTACTGCTTGCTTGAGTGGAATTCGGGAGATCTCTCTCGGTTCCAAGGGTCAACTGAGAAGCTTGGAGCTTCTCCCTATCACCAAGTCCGCTACTGACAAACGCGGCACTGAGGAAAATCCCCTGTTTGAGCTCTACGTTATGCACTCGCGCGGTGTGACCTGCTTGAATATCAAGAAGGAGGATTTAGGTTGGACCGCGGATAACAAGGTTATTCGCCCTATTGATGCAATGGAGCACGGCTTGATTGAAATCAGCGACCTTCAAACTTTCCCTACCTACGCCACCGATGAGCCATCTGTTAACGGTGACACAGCCTCTATCCAATCTCGCGTTGGTCCCAAGGAATCGGCGAAAAAGCCAGAGATTGGAGAATTGGCTTCTGGTGTTGCCCCTTCGCGTAACGCTTCGCCTACCAAGTTGGCCAAGAAGAAGGAAGAGCCTAGTGAGCCAGCAGTGGTACCTGTCGTGGTTGAGAAGTCTGAAAAGAAAAAGAAGAAGAAGGCTGCTGCTGCTGCTGCCGCCGCCGAAGCTGCCAAGGCAAAGGAGCCATCCGTCACCGCCGGTGTCGAACCTCTGCCAGTTCCATCCGGTGCTGCCAAGGAATTCGAGACTCTTGCCTCTTCTACTGCGGCGATGGGTGCGACTCAGGCTGCCGACCACGCAATACCTAGTTTCGGTTTGTCAAGTGAAATCTTCAACAAACACATCCAGACCTTGCAGGGCAGTGTTTCAAGCGAGTTCAACAAGAGTCTTGGCCATGAGTTTGAGAACCTTCATCGCCGCTTCGACGATGAACGTCGCAGCTGGGAGGCTGCCTCGTCAGCCAAGCAAGACCAAGTGTTGCGCCTGGTCTCTAGCACGCTCTCCGACAATGTCGAGAAGAACTTGACGCGTATTGTTTCAGCCAGTATCCAGACCGATGTTATTCCTGTCATTGCCGATGCCACCTCTGCAGCAGTCAACAAACAACTGAATGGCGCTATTTCCCAGCAGCTTGGAGGTGCGTTGAATGATGAGTTGAGACAGATCCTTCCCAAGGCTGTCATCAATTCTATGCAGCAGGCACCTGTGGTGAAGGCTGTCTCCGATTCGGTCGCGCAGAAGCTTGCACCTCGCATTGAGGCGGAAGTTACCCGGGCCATGCAGACTTCAATTGCCCCCATGATTGAGAGTTTGGCACGTACCACGAAGAAGGTGGAGTCGGATATGGAACGCCACTTCCAGGCGCAGGTCAGCCACTACGAGGCCCAGCGCCAGAGTGATACCGCAAAGATCGAGGAGATGTCGGCCGTCCTGCGTGGCTTGTCCAAGACTGTGTCTTTGCTGGCCGCGAACCAGAGCCACCAAACTCAGCAAAGCCAAAGCCCGCAGCACGAGATCCCCCACCGTGAGGTCTTGAATGTCAACAAGCGCTCCTCGACTAGGCAACCAAGTGAGAACGTGCGCATGCCGCAGCCGCTGTCTCAGCCTGTGCTTCAGCCCCAGGCTATCCAGGCCCCGACGCCAGTTCCGGTTCCTGTCGCTTCCCCCCATGTCGCGCGATCCCCCGAGGAAGTCGAAATGGGAGATGTTGTGCAGCTTATCAATACCGGTCACTACGAGCAGGGCACTATCAAGGTTGGTTTAAAACACTTCCATTTATTCGATGTTCCTACTAACGGTAAATTTCCTAGTGGCTCCAATCGAACCAGCAGGCTGATCTGTTTGACAACTTCTTTGTCCACATATCTCCCGCCTACTTGTCACGACTTTCTGCGATTGTTATGCTCTCCGTGGCCGTTGCTGTCACCACTACCATGCATACCAACATTGGCCAGCGCCTCCACTGGCTCGAGGTGGTTCTCCAAAACGTGAACCCCAGGGTATGTCATTATCCTCTCTCAAATCTTTGTAAAATGCCCATTAATTCTGGTTTTTTAGGACACCGATCTCCGCGAAGTCGCACCTCGCATTCTGGACATCATGAGCCAGCGCCTCAATACCCTGTACATGTCAGTCGTTGACCGCAACCCGCACGACCCAATCTTGCGACATATATCACCCCTCGCTCGCCGTGCCCGCGAACTGCACGCCAGCCTATCTTAAGTTGCGTTTTATCTCTCGCCTGTTCTCGTCTTTTTGCAAGTTCATGAATTCGGAATCACGATGGATTCACGATCTCGACACGGACCCATCAACGGCGTTATCATTTTGCTTTTCAGTATGACGTGTAACGATATCGAAGGAATGACAAAAGAAGAAATCCCCCAAAAAAACACATGAATTCGATCAGAGAATATGGCCTCTCTGGTACCCTTCGGGATGAGTGGAAAGGTTACCTTGGTTATCAGGTCAACAACACCTTGACGAGGTTATGAAGTTTCCTTTAGTTGGGGCATGGAAAACGGATGTCCGGGGCACATTTGATACCAACGCACATCCTTTGTGTTTGCTATTCTTCTGAGAGCATCTATGATGGTCTAGATATGACGTTGTGGGCTATCTAGGGCTTGTTATGCTGCGTCTCTCTTGCGTGTATCTATCTAGTTCTTGTACTCTCGGTTTTCCATATTTATGGCATGGCGTTATTACCAGACACTATGTAATCCCTTAACAAATTACCTAGGTAGGAACATCCGGAATGACAAACGGTGCAATGCTCGCCAACTTCTCACAAGTCTTCGTCAACTCACGCTGGGGGTTAGACTGAGAGATAACACCAGCCCCAGCTTGGGTCCAAGCACGATCCCGATCCTGAAATACAGTCCGCAAGACAAGCGCGGCTTCAAATGATTCTAAATCTTCGATCATGATGGCAGCGCCAGAGTACAGCTCTCTCGGTTGATCCTCCAGGCGCTGAATGGCTTCGAGAGTCGCATGCTTTGGAGTACCAGATGCGGTAAGTGACGGAAATACGACATCAAATGCATCCCATATATCTTTCTCCGGCGATAGAACTCCAGTAACACGAGATCCTAGATGCTGGACAGACCCATGCGTTCGGATTGATATAAAATCTTCAATCTTGACTGTATCCCGTGGGCAAAGTCGTTGGAGCTCGGTAATGGCCTGTCTTACTGATACCACATGCTCCACGATCTCTTTCGGGTCGTGAAGGAGCTCTTCTCGTAGTTTCGAGACTTTTTTTTTGCTTCTGGCACATAATCGAGTGCCAGCCAGTGGCTCTGTCGTTATCTTTCTATTGTTCACGGATACCACCAACTCCGGGCTAAAGCCTGTAGCCTGGTAACTTGCATGACTCAAAGAGAAACTTCGTGCGAGATTGTTGGAGGGCCGGCCAGCGAGAAGAGTAGCAGGCATATTGACCTTGTGTGGGATTTCCGCTGTGCGAGATGGAATCACTTTCTTGTAACAGCCTGTAGATATGCCGGAGAGAGTATTCTCAACCATCACGATGTAGTTCCCTTTGTCTTCGGCGTGTATGGATTTAACATCCTGAAAGGTAAAGATACCAGTGCTATTCTGTATCGAGTCATAGAGAGCTTTCACTTCTTCTTCGACTCCTTTCAGGGTTAGCATATCTCGGTGAAGAACAAGCAGGGCTAGAAGAAGCCAGTACACAAGTGTGTATTCTTGCCCAAGAATATGTGCAGCGTAGTTGAATTCCATTGCCGAGCACGAGATAGCCCTCTATCGACTATCACACAAGAGCTATATTTATAACTGGTCACCTGTGGTAATATTGGCACGAAAAAGATGCAAAATCAACCTTTGACATGAAGGGACTTAAAGTTTTAAACATGTTTCTAGAAGATTAATATGATTCGAGTCCATTCGTATCCATGGATCTACGAGTATCTACCCATGGATTGCAATCAATAAGCCGATTGGATATCCATTAACTGAGACCATACATCACTTATGTATGGTTATCACAGGCTGATAGGCAATCTCCATACATAATCCCGAATATCGCCGAATCGTGTAATTCTCAAATCTTACGCAGTCGCTCCGATGATATTGTAGAATTGGGTTACTCCGAACTAATTTACCAGTAACACCTAGGTACACACAGCACTCTCGGCAGAGTGGTGAGAGGTTGTGTAATTCTGCTACTCTTTTGATTTCAGATCACGATGAAGATGATAAGATTCACCTAGCATATCCCCATCTAACCCTCCAACTATCTATATGTTTAAATGACGCCTAGACCGAATCCACTTTAATATCCCCAACATCAGCCATTGGTCTCTTTCAGTGGGTAATCTTAAGTGTGTCTGTAGAAGACAACAAAAGAGTGGAAAAAGTCGCTGTCTAATATGCTGGGCAATCAAAGCAGGAGGACATGATGACCCATGCAACCCTTCGCTCTGCTAATCAATCAACTGGATGAATCCAATTAAAGCAAAGCACAGCTGCCTGGATGGGTCACATTCCCAGGTGCAACTAGGGCTAGGGCTTGTTATCCCCGGTTTTAGTCTGATCAATAACCAGGCGAACGGGTCTCTCCGGTTCATCGGCCTGACCCACGCCGGGTTGGTGGGACGGCGAACGAACACGGATCACCGAACGACCTATGCCAATACCCCGGAAACCACGCTTGCGGCTGCGGTAACTCGCATCCTCCCCGGTTGTGAGAGGTGTCGCCGTGCTGTGCGTGTGGCTAATGTTTGAGATGGGGACCGGCTCGCGCTCCTCGTATGTGCTGGTGCTGATGACACTGGAGATGGTTGCTGGGAGGTGATAGCCGGCTTTTCCAAGGGGGACTGAGAGGCCATGCACGACCTAGATTTGGTCAGAAGATAAATAGGTTATGAAGACGCGGGGATTTGGTTATTTGGGAAGAAGACTTACAATACTGCAGATTACTAGGAACCAGACCACGACCCGGATGGTCTCCATGACTTGATTTACGTCCTCTGGGACTTCGCCGTTGACTTGGATCTTGCGCAGGAATTCAAGGCTGACTGATAGGTAGAAGATGGCGCCTACTCCGATAGGACCGAAGAAGCCGACGAAAGCAGCCTGGGAGACGAGCTCTATTTGCGGGATCCATTTGTGCATGGCAAAGACGATCGGGAGGCGGCGGACTATGAGGACCAATATTCCCAGGAAGATAAGCCGATAGATTGGAATCACGCTGTTGTCCAGGAAGGATGACCATGGGCAAACCGCTCCAAACCACATGAAGACAGACAGGTTGAGAAGCATGTCGATTGTCGGTTGGAGGGAATCGTCCATGGTCTCAAGGCGGAACCAATCACTGTCTCTGTTAGCATTCGTGATATCATAGCCTGCATCGTAGTGGCCTACTCTTGTGTGAATACGTTTCCAGCAATGAAACAGGCAAGAAGATCATCTGTCCCAATCAAACCACAGGTTCCCACGATGAACAGCTATTTAAGAGATCAGCAAAGAACAAAAAAAAAAATCTTTTTTTTTTTTGGTTTTTGAGGTAAACTCACCGCAAGAGCAATGGCAAACACCAAGAAGCTCTCCCGGTCAACATAGCGCTTCTCCTCTGCCCAGTGTAGCAACTTCCTCGCAATCCAACCAACCAGAGTTCCATAGGCCACACTCAACAGAATGGTGTATGCCCAGGTCTCATAGAACCACAACGCCATCGCCTTCCCCGCCCCACCGCTATAGCTCTGGCTTCCCATCCCGGTATACTGGAGGAGATAAATCGCAAAGAAAAGGAACGGGTAGCCAAGGCCATCATTAGCGCCAGATTCGGCGATAATGATCCTCTGCAGCTCACGGGGAACATGTTTATCGGCAAACTTGCCCTTGACAATGGAGTTGGACAGAACAGGATCGGTTGGGGTCACGCATGCGCCGATGATCAGGGCATGGAGGAACTTGAAGTTCGGAACCATGGCCCAGATCACTAGGCTACTGCACATCCACATGGCAGCCATGCCTGGTCCAAGGAGTAGCCCTAGGCTCCGCCATTCAATCTGCAGATACCGTTTTGGAAGTTGGACTCCGGCTAGGACTAGCTGCACGCCTAGCACTAGGCGGGTAAAATGTAAAGTGATTTCTTCGAGGTTCTCCTCAGAGTGGAGTGCATAATCTTCCGGTCTGATGAAATTAGCCGCATGGGGAGAGAATAACACTCCGGCTAGAAGGGAGATTACTATTTCCTGTTAGTAAATGTGGTGATACCACTCGGATAGCTTAACACTTACATGCTTCGGATAGGTAGAACTTCTCTTTGCAAAGGTAGGATACTAGTCCGAAAAGGGAAATAAAACCTCCGAGCGTCGCGCAGACGATGTTGAAGTTGATCAAGGCGAGTGTCGGCATTTTGCTCTGCACTATAGCCCGCTTGGAATGTTCTGAGTTATATTCCAGAGCAATTAAGGCCCGAATGTGTCAACTAAAGGAATAGTTCGGGCTCAAAGGAGTCAGATCAGCGAGATCTAGAATCTTAGATAATGTCCGTATGTCAAGGTTGAACGAATACAAGCAAGTGTTATTGAATCATAGTATGAATTTCCTGTACAATTGTTGGAAAGATCATCTGGATGTATTGAGATGGCTTCAAGGTAAACAGTGGTAGCATTCGTATTGGGGGGGCTTTGGAAGTGAATATGTGAAGATGCGATGAGAGAAGATCGTTGTGGGAAACATCCCAGGTCTTGGCATCTGACACGCTATGTATGTTGTACATACTCCGTACATACTTATTGACTATATAGGTATATTATGCACGTTACTATTCTATTATTCCATATTAGATGCAAGATGCTCTCTTTATTTTGCAATTGAAGTCCTAAAAATCTTCAAATAATTCATCGGGCATTTCTTGGGCCACATGCAGTGCTTCTGCCTTAGCCGATACCCCCCTTTGGGCTCCATTGACGGCTAATTTATCGGCCTCTTCATTGCCCAGGTCTTTATTATGGCCTTTAACCCATTCAAACAAGGTCTTCACCTTGAGGTCATTTCGTTCCTCGATTTTGATCAGAATCGATTCAACCAAATCCTTGTTCTCAACCGGCTTCTTGTCCCGGGTCATCCAGTTGTTGCGACGCCAGTTGACAAACCATACCGTAACACAGTCAATCGAGTATCGGCTGTCAGTGATTATGGTTACATCTCGGTGCCGAGGGGCAATGTCAATCGCCCGGAGGATTGCAGTCAATTCAGCGCGCTGGTTCGTTTGACGACTGCCTTTTAGTGGCTCCGATACGTTTCTGCTGGGATAAGTGACGGAAGTTAGAAGGCGTGGTAAAAAAAAGAAAGAAGAAAAAAAGCCCAATGGGCGAATGGGCGAATGTACGAACCTTGAATCGCCAGGGCCGAAGTATACCCCTACCCCGGCCGATGCTAACGGGGTGCCATTCCTTAATGAACTCCCATCGGTATATATCCGGAGCATCCCTGGGATACCTGTGGGTTGTGTTTTTGTTGCTGCCATCTGGGGGGCGGTTTTGTACACCACCTTGCCAGTGGCTGGGTCTAAAAGGACGTTGGGGTCAAACCCATCTTCGGCTCCTGCTGGCAATGGACCGTCGCCTGGCGCAAACTCGATCCCTTCTACGTCTTTTGGTTTTTCGGTCGTTATTCCATGGGGCCCAGATGGCCCAGATGCCACGCCGAACCCGGCTGGGGGCTGGGTCTGTCCTTCCCGTACAAACTCCTCTGCCTCTTCGCGAGTAGAGAACTTGCGATATCGAGGTCGCGGAAACCCACGGATCTGCTCCTGTGCCTTTGTCCAGTCTGTGTATACACCAGTAACCCGGCCCCTTTGGATTCCATAGAATCGTGTGTTCTCCGAGCTCTGCGATTCGACTGGGAGCTTGGTACCGTTCAGAAACGCGTTGGCTGCTTCTTGCGAGGGAAACGATTGGACTAAAGAGCTTATGCGTTAGTACCTGGTCAAGTTGGTACACCTATTGGAAGAACCACTGCGAAGAGTGCACTCACAAATTGCTCCCTTGAATCCCGTTATTTGGGCCAGACAGTCATTCCACCCATAGTAGATACCCGGTTTGTGACCCGCCTTGACAGCATAATATTTGGCAGGGGCATTTCTCTTGCGTTTTGTGCCTGCGGTCGGCGAGGGAGAGGGTTTTAAGCTTGGCGAGGCTTTGGGGACGGGGCTCGGCGAGGGTGTAGTCTTATTCATCGTGGCGGATTGGTGGTCGCTGGGGGTCAAGTCGATAGTTTTGGGGGTGGTGAGAGTAGGAAATGGGCTCTTGTAAGTCCCAGTTGTTAGAAATTCACGATTCGACGTTGTATTCGTGGCTGGGCGGACGGGAATAAATCGAGGAATAAATCGCGGGCAGCTCTGAAGGGAACACCAAGGTCCCAACTTCAAGGCTGACCAAACAAGGCCGTGAATCTTGATTTGCCTAAAAGATGTGTAATTGTGGGAGAGGGAACCGAGAGGTAGAGACGGTCACTTTCAAGGTCGAGGAATTGAGAATTGAGAATAAAGAGGGGGGAGGGGGAGGATACTCAGTTCGGTCTGTTGCCAGCGCTTGTCGATCTTGATCTGACACCAATCTCTAATTTTGACGGATAATATATTATTTTTGTTTATTTTGCTGATTGAATGTGTTGGAATGGCCTAGTTTTCACGATGGATGTTTGTGTTGCTTGATGTTCATATATATTTTTCGCATCAGTATATATTGCTGGCATACAGCTCACATCTTGATTTTATACCAAAAACAAGAGAGGCAAAACACTAGATACCAGATACATAGAGCTAAAATTCCGTATTCAATCGTCCCAATATCACTCCCACTTCTTGCTGGGTAGACTGCATAACATGCTCAACAGAGACCACAGCATTGATACTTCCAATACTCGCACCCCTACCAAACCATTAATATAAAAAGCCCAAGAGATACATACAGTATAGAATAGTCGGGATACTCACGCCCATACTGTCCTCCGTTGATGTTCGCCAGCCTCTTTAGCCGCATTGTATCGTCGGATGATTTCCTCGTCACTGACCCCATCCCGAGAATCCTCGTAGCTAACCCCAATCATAGCTCTGCCATCATACTGCCTCGGAAAGAGATCGGTTGATTGGAACACATCATGTCGGATGGACTTGACAGTCGAGGCTCCGCCGTCACTCCCCGATACAATGGCCTGTTTAATCGCAGACGGCGCAGGGCACTCCGAGGTTGCAACGAACTGGCACTTGATTAGCAAGGATCCATGTCGATGAGAGGAAGCACGACAAACCCGTGTGCCCATAACAATCCCATCGGCACCTGTCTATGTTAATAAGCTGCAATAATGAAGTGCGGAATAGCCCACCTAAGCCGAGAGCAGCAACGCAGCCCCTCCCATCCACAATGCCGCCAGCTGCCAGGATAGCAGTGGTTGTATCCTGAGTCTTTGACAGAAGATCTCGCACCTCAGGCAACAGGGACATCAAACCAGCACCCTGGACCCATTGATGTCCTCCTGCATCAGTCCCTTGAACCACCAGAACATCCACTCCCTGCGCAAGTGCCTCTTTTGCAGCTTTGACAGTTCCTACCTGAACAAATATCTTGGTATTCCAGTCAGAATTCTCCTGGGCCTTCTGAATGGCTTTTATAATCGGAAGATGATCAGAGTCAGCCCGAGGGAAGGATAGCCAGATTGCCCCCACTCGATGCTTCTGGAGAATGGGAATGGCATTCTCAATGAGCCCATCTGGCTGGAAAGTAATGAAACCGACACCAAGCGGTAATGGCGCACCATCGGTCAAACCAAGGATAGAGCGGGCATTCGCCAACTGAGTATCCAGGCCCAGGAGCTGGGTTGATTCGGATCGGAAATCAAAGCCTCCACCAATAAACCCTGTAGATGGTCAGTCTGGTGTCTGCAACTAGGTCGGTTTGTTATACCGAATCCTCCGGCCTTCGTGACGGCAGTTGCTAGGCTGGCGTCGGCAAATCCAAACATTGGCGCATTAGCAATGAATGGAGCAGTTGTACAAGGAAACCATTGTAGGACGTTTGCAGCCATTGTAAGATCGAGGAGGTATGAAGGGAAAAGTAAGATGCGGGGAATATATGGCGATGTGGCTAGGTACCTATGTACATAGTTAACTATTATTAATCATACATTTACTAATGTTAGTCTGGTTCGAAATAATTCATAACAGAAGATAGTCTTTAGAATATAAGATAGTTTAATTGAATACGTTGATCGAAAGGAATATGTGAAATAATAAGACCCATTTGGTCTCATCCATAGTGGCTTAAGATGCCTCATTTTACATCAATCAGTTTCCTGGTCTAGCGGTTATGATTTTCCGTTAACAATTGCTTCAAGCAAGTGTTCCGGAAAGGTTCTGGGTTCGATTCCCAGGGAAACTATTTTTTCTCCCGAAGAGTCTTTTTTTGGTTGTGGATTGGGGGTGGAGATGGGTTGGGTTGGGTTAGGGTGGCGCTGATATAGTGGGCCAACAGCCAACGAGGGTAATTTTTTTTTTGAGGAAAGAGAGACATTATTGAATATTGTAATGTTGAATGGGGACGTAAAGTAGAACAAGACTCCAAATAGTTAAAATTATATTCGAGATAGATACAGTTGCATTTGGAGTATATAACTTTGGTGGCTCCTACAGTCTCGCACGGAATGCACGCCGTAAGGGTTCGAGAGCAGTGGGACCATCGTAGATCTGCTGCTCAGTAACGCGAGTGTTGATCTAATAGCAGTGTTAGTAGAAAAAAAGACGAAGTGATGAGAGGATACTTACATGTTGGAGCCCTAATTGATCAATCCGCTCCACTCCAAGCAGTCGCATACATGTCTTGATTTCATCGTTCAGAACTACCACAGAGTTAGAAATGAAAACAGAACAAATACCTAGTCAACTTACTTTGCAATGTTCGGCGAACACCGTCGACTCCACCCGCCGCTAAACCCCACAGAGCCGGGCGTCCGAGGCCAACTGCCTTCGCACCTAGGCAGAGAGCCTTGACGGCATCTGTGCCGCGACGAATACCTCCATCCACATACACCTCGATCTTGTCGAAGACCTCGGGGCAGTATTTCCGAATCTCCAAGAGAGTATGAACTGCCGGAGGGGCAGTGTCCATGGCGCGTCCTCCGTGATTGGAGAGAATGATACCTTGAACTTGAGGTGCGTGAAGTGAGGCAAGGTATGCATCTTCGTGAGTCTGCAGACCCTTCAAGACAATAGGCAGATCCGTCTGAGTGGCAAGCCAAGCCAAAGTATCCGTCCATGTTAAGGAAGGATCGGTGCCTGCGAACAATTGCTGGCCGACACCTCCAGATCCTTGGGTTGGATTGGGGGTGTCGTCTGACGAGCGCTCGGCGGCTTTCACGCCACTGGGCACGGCAGCGGTCCGCCCGGTCATGCCAGTTCGCTCATCTTCCTCGCGTTTTCCTGGAACCGGGGCGTCGAGAGTAAGAACAATGAACTTGATTGCCTTGAGCTTCTGGATGCGTGCAAGCATCGTCTCACTCTTTTTACGGTCAATCTGAACATAAAGCTGCCAGCCAAAGATTTGGTCCGGAGCAGCGTCTTTGACGATCTGCTCTGGTGTCATAGAAGCGTTATTAGAGATGATTTGCATGGCTCCAAAGCTATGACACGCTTCGGCGATGCCGGCCTCACCGGATGGGTGACCTAGACGGGCCATGGCCGCGGGAGACACATAAATAGGCGTTTTCAGTTTATGCTCGAGGACCGTTGTGTCCAGATCACACTTTGTGCAATCCACAAAGACTCTAGGTCGCAAGAGGATGGACCGATAAACCTCATTATTGAACTTTTTGCTGATTTGGTCGTCGGATGCGGAGTAATAGTACGCCCAAGCCTTCTTGCTCACTTGCTTAGTAGCCACCTCCTCAATCTCGTCCAAGTTGAGAAGATTCTCCATAGGCGGTGGACCCTCAATCTCTTCTTGAGAATCAGAGGATGCCTGTTCCTTTGGTAATGTGCTGGCATCGATTGTTCCTAAGCATGCCTCAGGCTTAAGCTCCTCCTCTAATATTCCTGGCGGGTGAATAGGATCATACTCCTCGGTGGCATCCTGGCCCGCAAGTTTCAAAATGATCTTTGCACCGCCGGGGTGGCTGCCCAGGAAATCGGTGACCTAGATAAGAGTCAGACGTGCCCGGGGAACGTGCAATACACCATGGGGATCTTTATAGGATGAAACCGTACATCGTAGACCTTGCCGTATAGAATCACCCAACAACTCTCAGGAGTGTTGTGCTTTGCGACTGTCTCTTCAATTAGTCGAAATATCCCGCGTGGGGGTCACACGAATGCGGAGAACCAATACCTTCTGTCGCATCGAATACCTTGGCCATTCTCAATCACGGCACAGGGGTGAGTTGAGTGATATTGGGTATGGAGATCAGGACGAAGTATTCAAGAGAGAGAAAAGAAGAAAAGGCGAGAGAAGTAAATTGGAGAAGCCATGGACATGTCGGAGAACCCTGGAGAGTGTGGGGAACGTCGGTAGCCGCTTTTCCCTTGTTGGGGCCTTTTCGATTGCCGACCGAGTAGGAGTTGGAATTGACTTGATGTTATTGGTGGGAAATATTTGGTGGGAAATATTTGGTGAATATGTAAATCAGAGAGTACATTATAGTTAGTTATAACTAGTACACTTAAGTATCTAGCTACTAATATGTATACAATTCTATGTCCACGTGAGGGCCAAGGTGTCACCCGTTCTCCTCACCTCTGCGGAACCCAACTTCCATGAACTTGCGAAACCAGTCCGGATATCATTCCAATTTCAATACCTTCACTCTTGCTTCTCTTTTATTTGATTTGGAAACCTCGCCATGTTTGAGGTGTGTTTACCTAGTATTCCTTAGCCATCTACCTTAGCTACCCCATATTCTTCATCTCTCCTGTCCTACCTCACTATTTAGTCTGACTGTCTCAGCGTCGCGCAGGGGATCGTTATCGCCTTCGAATGCACCGAGCCCGCTCGGCAGTGCTGACCTCAGATGAAATGGTCGAGGTGCGCGCAGCTCAACGCACCTTTGAGGGGGCCTATGTCCGAACCGCTCTTTCTCAATTCTCCTTCGCTCTCGTCGTGCTCAAGATTTTCACCGCCGAGTTCTACAGTATTGGGGCTCTGTTCGCGATATACGGTACCGGTGTTCTCATCATCGGACTTTTCCGCCGCTCGCAGGGAAACAGACAGTTCTTCTCGGAAGTAGGGGATGATGGGATCCATCGGCACAAATTCCGTACCAGTGGAAATGCGGTCTTGGTTTTGACAGCACTGAGTGTTGCGGCGTACGCATGCTTGATTGGCTTGACCTTGAACTTGAGCAACTGATAAGAAACATTATGCGTGGATGGTTGCACACCGATCCATCCACACACCGTATATCCAATATCCCTGGAGGCTATCTTCTAGGCATGCTATCTGTGATACCCCGATACCCCCCTGCGTTACCGCCAAGTGCCAAGGATTCCGCACCAGACCACGGAATATGGGGGACCATTTTCGGGGCTTACGGCAGCGGAGATCAGCGTGCAGCAACGGACGCCTACAGTTGGCCGGAGATCAATCTGTTGTGTCGACTGAAAGTCGCCAAGAAAGCCGAGTATGGACCAGCCCGAGCGGTGAGACTCAGGTCACACAAGGTGTTCCCAATAGTTATGTTTGATTCATTGCTGAGTTCGATTCCAAATACGGAGTATTATGTGTGCTTTTGTACTTTTGTTGAGTCGGCCATATCTGGAATCAACTAGGGGTGCACTGCCAACTCCTTACCAAGACGGGAAACCCAACGGCTCCGAGCATTTCGGTGGATTATGAGGAGATCACAGGGCAAATTGCACAGGGGTGAGATTGAGTATGGTTCGAGGTTCCACTGTGTTTTCTCGAAACTGTACTCCGTACTCTCACCTGTACTCCCGTATGCTTTTAGCCAAGCATTCTCCATTAGAGATAGGACCGATGCATCTTGCATGGTTTGGTGAAACCTATCTAATATGATGTCCTTAAGAGCTGTTTAATCCTAGATTATATCTGAGCATCTTGCATCTCCATATCATAATTTAATATCATTTCTCTTTCCCCCTCTGTATACTTACACTTCCTTTGACATCATATATGGACGATCTTTAAGCCATCGATCCACCCTATGAACTAAGTCTAACCTGCTGCGTGATTTCATCATTTCAAAGGTATCTCTTGAGTTAAGATCTCTCCTTTTGACGTACTTGGCACTACGCTATCCTTGAGTGATATTGTACCCCCACATGCAACCCAAAAAAGGCACATAAAATATTTTTGAAAAAAAAAGAACTCCATATCAGAAAAAACCCCCAACCACTTTGATTCTTTTATCCCTTGAATATCTCAAAGCTCCTTGAATATCCCAAGTGGTCAATATCAGGTGTTCCCGTTGGTTGACTCATCCAAACCTCCGTGGGCGCACTTTCTTTTCTCTCCTTTCTCTCACCAACTTTTTTTTTTTATCTGGCCCAGGTGTGACACAAGTCCTTATCAACTCGAAGACCTTGTGAGAAATAGCTCTGAGAGCAACAATACCCTTCTTAATAAAACACACCCACAGAACATCCCCCTAGGGGATGGCGCAACATTCTAGCATTGCCCGGTCGGCCATGACGTCGGCCGTTTCGCCTGAGACGGGGGATCAGAGGAATAATATTAAACCCAACGGCACATCGAATGGCTCGGGATCGGGGAAAGAAGGAGCTCTTATGCCTCCGAAAACTGTCGTCAACCGAGCGCTAGGTAATGACCTGCATTCCGATTCCCACAAATCGTCACTGCCGCCCAAGGGCGGAGTCGGAGCCGCTTTGGCAGACACTCCGGTTTCTACCGCACCTCCGTCTCCACAGATGTGAGCATTGTTTCTCTCTTTTTTTTTTGTCTAGAACCTTTGGACTTTACTATGTTTGATCCTATCATCCTATCAGAGCGAGATTTGATCGGCTCACCTCGGGATCAGTCCAGTTCCGGGGTTCTTTGCAGCCTTATTCTGACCTAATC